ATGAAGGAGTATGATGAGACAACTAACCCTATCAACCATCTCAATGTGTATACAGACGTCATGAATCTACAAATGGTACTAGATCCCGTAATGTGCAAAGCTTTTCTACAAACACTGACCAATACTGCTAGGGATTGGTTTTCTACCCTAGAGCCTAATTCCATTGATTCATTCTCGGACTTGGCCGACAAGTTCTCCATTTTCTTTGCTAGTAGCAAGCGCATCAAGAAGACTGCTACATCCCTCATGCAGCTCAGGCAGGGATCGAATGAATCCTTGCGTAACTTCATGATCAGGTTCAACAAAGAAAGGCTTCAGATACCCGACCTTCACATAACAGCAGCAATCTCTGCCCTCACATATGCTATAAGGGATGATGCCTTCAAGATGTCCCTCTCAAAAAATCCACCGAAGTCCATGACCGAGCTACTTACCCGAGTAGAAAAATACATTAATATAGAGGAAACATTAAACCCGATGAGAAATTCTCACCCGACCTCTGAGAAACCCTAACAAAAAAGGTAGCATGATTTTAATCCTCGTCCGGAAGCTAACAAAAATAAGCAGAAGAATGAGACACAATAGACGTCGTTAACTCGATTGAACACTTCCAGGTCTAACATTCTGATGGAGATCAATGATATGAACAAGTTTAAATGGCCATCGAGGATGCAATCCCCTCTTAACACTTGAGACAGAAGTAAGTATTGCGACTATCATCGAGATCATGGGCATACAACAGAAACTGCAAAGCCCTCCAGCGAGAGATTGAGGCTTTAATAAAAAAAGGGATATTTAAGTTCATATGTCAGTCAAAACAAACACCCGATGAATGATCGAGAAAGTGACAAGGGTCCCAAGAGTGGGAGGAATGACAAGCCTACTACATGAACGATTAACATTATTGTTGGGGAGATAGCATCAGGATGAGACTCAAACAGTGGACACAAGCAATATGCCAGTCAATATACCCCGAGCTTGAGGATGACGCCTATGATATGGAAGAAATCACGTTCAGGTTACAGGACTTGGAAGGTCTTTCACATCCCACACGACGATGCACTGATCACATCAGCAATCATAGCCAATTTTGAGGTAAAGAAGATACTAGTTAACAAGGGGAGCAAGGCCAACATGCTCTCCCATGAGGCATACTTTAGGATGGGGATTTCGGACGAACATCTTAAAGCTATTAAAACCCCACTTCAAGGATTTGGAGGCGGTACAATCATTCTGGAAGGAATCATAAATCTTCCACTCACGCTGGGGTCGAATCAGAAGCAGGTAACAGAGATCACATCATTCCAGGTAGTTTGCGCTTCAATGGCCTACAATGCCATTCTGGAAAGGCCATTGCTCAACAAGATCAGGGCTATTGTTTCTACTTTCCACCTTGCTATGAAGTTCACTACCAATAATGGTGTCGGGGTAGTGCGAGGGGACCAGTCAACTACTAAACAGTGCTACGTAACAAGTGTTCGAGGAATAAGCTCCAATGTTATACATATCTTGTCATTCAAACTCGAGCCTGACTACGTAGGTCGACTTGCGCCAGTGGAAGAGGTAGTAGAGGTCGAGCTCAAGCTCAGCAAGAATGTAACGATTGGTCGAGATCTTGACTCCAATCTCATGGAGATACTGGTGAGTTGTCTATCCCGCAATATAGATGTGTTCGCCTAGAGTGTCGAGGATATGCCGGGGATAGACCCGAGCATTATGGTCCACAAACTCAATATCAACCCAGGGCCAAAACCAATCAAATAAAGGAAGAGACAATTCGCACCAGAACGACGTGAGATCATTCGAGAGGAGATTGATAAGTTGATCAATGCTCAGTTCATTCAGGAAGTTCAATACTTTGAATGGCTCGCCAACGTCGTGCTCGTCAAGAAGGTTAATGGGAAATGAAGAGTCTGCATCGACTTCACAGATCTTAATAAGGCATGCCCAAAAGATAGCTATCCCCTACCTTGGATCGACAACCTCGTGGACAGCACGTCGGGATATAACCTGTACAGCTTCCTCGATGCATTTTCGGGATATCATCAGATCAAGATGGCTGACGTCGGGATATAAATTGTACAGCTTTCTTGATGCATTTTCTGGATATCATTAGATCCTCGTGGCTGAGGAAGACCAAGAGAAGATAACATTCATGGCTGATTCGACGATATACTATTATAGGGTCATGCCATTTGGATTGAAGAATGTAGGAGTGACTTATCAGATACTCATCAACAAAATCTTTGCAAGAATGATTGGGAAAAATGTTGAAGCTTATGTGGATGACATGGTATTCAAGAGAAAACAAGTAGAGCAACACATAACAGATCTTGAAGAGGTCTTCTCCATCCTACAGAAGTATAAAATGAAGTTGAATTCAGTAAAGTGCGTCTTTGGAGTGGCCTTGGGAAAATTTTTAGGGTTCATGATCACGCACATAGGGATTGAAGCCAACCCAGACAAAATAATTGCACTGACATCCATGGAGTCCCCTAGGAACAAGAAAATGGTTCAGAAACTGACCGGCCGCATCGTCGCCCTAAACAAGTTCATGTCTCGTGCAGCTGACAAGTGCTTCCCATTTTTAAAGGCTCTAAGGAAAAATCATGACTTTGAATGGAACGAGAATTGTAAGAGAGCATTCCATGAGCTCAAGCAAACGTTGGCAACCCCGACAATTCTTATGAGGCCGGAGCCTAGAAATGCACTATTTCTATACTTAACAGTCTCTAAGAACACGATAAGTGGCGTGTTAGTGAAAGAGGTCGGCAGAGCTCAACGACCAATCTACTACGTGAGCAAAGTATTGATTGATGCAGAGACCAGGTACACTTTGGCCAAACAGCTAGCTCTTGCCTTGGTGATGTCGGCCCGAAAATTAAGACAATATTTTAAATCTCATCCAATTGTCATGCTCACAAATCAACCACTCAAACATATACTCTAGAATATCGACATGTCTGGAAGGTTATTGAAGTGGGCTATTGAACTTAGCGAGTTTGACATTGAATTCAAGCCCTGACCCTCAATTAAAATACAAGCCTTGGCCGACTTCATAGCAGAACTCATCCCAAGGCCTTAGGGGCCAGTAGATAGCCCAACCATGGAGGCCACGGACATATGAGAAATATTTTTGGATGGAGCATCCAACAGCTCGGGCTCGGGTGCAGGTGTCATAATTATCAACCCGAACAAATATACAAAAGTACAATGTACACTACGATTTGAATTTGGCGCTACAAATAATGAGGCAGAGTACGAAGCAGTTGTAATTGCGCAAGAGCTCATCACTAATCTTGAGCTTGAGTAAATAAAAATTTGCAGCGATTTACAACTAGTGGTTGGACAGATTGAATGGGCATTTGAAAGAAAGGATTAGAAGATGAGCTTGTACTGCCTGAGATTTCATGATCTTCAAAGACGATTCAAAAGTTGTGAAATTTTGAAGATCTCCCGAGCCAAAAATTATAAGGCCGACACCTTGTCTAGACTCGTGTTCATGGGGATTGATGGTCTTAACAGGATAGTTCACGTAAAATTTATAATAGAACCGAACATAAGTTAATCACCATCTATCATGGATATTGAACATGAGCCTTGTTGGATGGACCCAATAATTGATTTCATAACTAATGGAAATTTACCAGATGATCCGTGTATAGCAAGAAGTATTCGAGCTCGAGCACCAAGGTATTGCATGATCAGGGGAGTTCTATTTCGTCGAAGTTTCACTCTTCCATATCTTCATTGCCTCAGGCCTTCAGAGGCTGTCCAAGCCCTAGTTGAAGTCCACGAAGAAGTGTACGGGAATCATCAAGGTACTTGGGCCCTAGCCTTTAAACTTATAAGGTACGGATATTACTGGCCTACCATGAAGATGAGTGTTGTGGATTATGTAAAGAAATGTAACAAATGTCAGAGGTTCGGTAACGTCATCCATTCTCTGACCGAGGACCTAACTCCCGTTCATTGCGCGGCACCATTCGAGCAATGGGGCGAGGACATCCTCGTTCCTTTCCCACTCGCCCGAGGATAATTGAAGTTCATTGTCGTAGCTGTAGAATATCCCACAATGATGCACGAAGACTCCGGCAATGATGCACAGGGGCCAATGATGATCTCAATAATTGGTTATCCCGAGGAATAAGCCCAGGGATACATTTTCCCAAATTGTGTCACAATTTCGCTCTCCTTCTAGGGAGTAACTCCTCAAGCTATACTCCTCAGCCATTGTGAAATCCTTGAGATCATAACTGAACTTAGTACCGTGCAGCCCCCGACTCAAGGCTCATCCAAACCTTAAAGAGAGAGAGTCCTAGTGTTAGTATGTTACTTCATCCTAAAAGGATTCTACCATCAGAATTCTACTTTTATCCAAACACGTGGATAATGTAAAACCAATCAATTGGATATTTTCGATCATGTTAGAACTCCTAGGGATCTCAACATTGCGATCCTACTAGGAATGTGTCACCAACTTCTATAAATATATCATTCCAATTCATCATTAAGGTATGTTTTTACTCAATTTATAGCATATACTCTTTTCATATTTTCTCTCTCTGACTTAAGCATCGGAGGGGCGATGAGGACACACCTCGATGCCTTTGTTTCAGGTACCAAAAGTCCTCCTTCGTGCTCATTCTCAGTAGTCAAGCTCGAAAATCAACAGGTACGATTTTTGGTAGCATCAGATTGATTTGTAGTCGAAAGCAAATTGCTTTTCAATTCAGAATTGGAATAGAAACTGTTAAGCGCCAAATCGTAGATATGAACTTCAAATAATTCGCAATTGCTGCGATCAAGCTCGATTCCCCAGTCCCGGGAGGCCCATACAAAAGATACCCTCTTTTCCAAGCATTTCCAACTTTCTTATAATACTCCTTTCTCCTCACAAACATGTCCAAATCCTCAATGATTTGTTTTTTCGACTCGGGCTCCATTGCCAATTTATCAAAAGTTACAAGATGATCCAAATTTACATACACCCAATCCCCTCATCCTCTTCTTCCATCGTCATTGTAACTGCTCCATGGACAATCCTTTGCATACAATTTCACATCCCAATCTTTCTCCTTAATTTCTTTGGCCTTTTCCAAAACAAAAGGCAAATAATCATTCAACACAATTTCTTTATGTTTTCTCGTCGAAAGTGAGTTCATAGTATCTTTTCTCATCCTCGTTGTCGATTTTCCTTCACCTCAAAAACATATTGCCATTTGATTCGAATTCTATTGTAAGTATCAATCACTTTTTCATCTTTCTCCATGCTCAAAGTAATATTTTTCTTCTTGGACTTCTTGCTTGCTCTGAATATCTTAGTATTTGGGTTGATTTTCGTGTGGAGATAAACCTCGGCAGCTACATAGATTTGATTGCGCACCATGCCACTGTTCTCCTCCACCACCATCGTGATTTTGGATGACACTAGAGTGAAAAAAATAGTTGAGAAGTCGATTGAAAGTAGAAACAACGTATAATTTTATAGGCTCGGGTATAATATCATTCACCATGGATCGGTATAGCAGTATCGATATAGCCACCGATGCATTGGCTGAAAATACATTAGAAGCCATTGTTTGCATATCACCAAATGACAGCATTTTGTGAAAATATTTCGAAGAAATTTTGATTTAAAGGGTGTTTGCTTTTCTTTGGGTTTAATGTTTCTTGGTGGGGTATTTATAAAGAACACACAAGTTACTTGACGATGAAGCAATTAAGAAAGAAGATGAATAAATCATGAAAATATTCCAATTTTGATCAAACCAAATCACTTGTAATATATTATCCAATATTAACAAAATATTACTAAGGATCAGGGGTGGGATCTTGTACATAACAATTGTTCCTTGCGAATTTTTCTACAATGCATCCATTCTATTATGTCTAGATTGATTTTACAATCAATTTTTTGACAACCTCGATAGCAAAAGATACTCTTAGAAATTGAAAAAATTCATGACAAAATCACAAGCTTGTAATTGATTTGTTTTGCTTCTTATAAGATAAATTTGTAAATCTATACAAATAAATTGCAATAGAATTATTTTATCAAACTAAGACTTTGATAAATTTTAAATAATTATAAATTCTAGGTAATTTCGTAGATTTGAATATATTTCCACAAAATCTATAGAATCTCCTCGACTAAGATTTTGATGAATTTTAAAAATCTTTCTGAATTCATGTGTCTCCAATTGAAATTTTAATGAAATCTTTTAAAATCTAGGTATCTCCTTGAGATGTTAATAAAGTTCAATGAAATTCTTAAACATCTAGATATCCTTGATAACTCACATGTATAAGAATTTCATTAAGAGAGGAATTTTAAAAGATTTGGATTGATTTCAAACTTGAAAACGCATATAACAAACTCTTTAAAATCCGTATATTAATGAAATTCCTGCATTAATAATTTTTTTATAAATTCACGAGTTATTGAAGATACATAGATTTAAAGAACTCCATTGAAATTTATTAAAATCTCACTTGAGATACCTTGAAAGGAGGGATACCTAGAAAGCACTTTTAAAATCCATCAAATTCTCAGTTGAAAATACCCCCAACAAAACTTTAGAATCACCTGTAATTCTCTTGTATAAATTTAAAAATCAGTTTTGCTCAATTATAACAGTTGCCCGATTGCACGATATTAGAACAGTAAACAGTATAATTGGTTTTTGTTTCATTTTGTCATATAAGATAAAAATTCTACCCAATATCCAGTTGGGTCCACTGAAGTTGAGGATTAAAATATGAATTAAAATCCTCGAAGCATTACAGATGTACATGTGCCAACACTGCATTGATATAGTGAACAGTATTTTTTGTCCAACATCTAATTAAAATTGACAGCTGACAATCTTTCAAAAAAATTGTCAATTATTTCTGTACATGTAGGAAGATTGCTAAAATATACATGACAATTTCCCCCCTCTAAAATACCTTAAAAATGGTGAGAAAGGTACTCAAAAGAAATTTCAGGTAATTCTGTAATTTTTGAAATTGAAGAGTTATCTTTATTTATAATACTAGTGAGAAGCACGTGTCTTGCATGTGCCACGATATAGTTGACTACGTAATAGCGTAGGTATTAAAAAAATATTTATGTCAAAGATTAGTTACATAAAATATTCTTATAAGTTGTTAACTATTTCGAGGTAACATTAAATGTGGAGATAGTTAGCGAAAAAATCGAGGATCACCTTCCACCACAGCCTTCAGTTATCAAAAATTGTCTTCTTACCAATCCCCGATAGAACATTTATTGTCAATTACTTCATAAACCTCTAATCAAATTTTAAACAAAAGAATAAGGAAAAAAAACTAAAAATAAATAACTAATAAACCCAAAGAAATAGAAAAAAACTAATCAAACGTAAAAAAAATAAAAATAAAAAATGCTTAGCTG